GGAATCTGAGCATCACGGGCAGTTCAGCACCGGAATAGAGCATCATGGGCAGTTCAGCACTGGAATCAGAGCATCACGGGCATTTCTCAGAGTAATGACACAGCGGAATCTGTTGAGGAAGAGCTGCTGCTCATCCCTGCCTCCTGGGGCTTCTTAGGGGTTTTCTAACAAAGGCAGCTTAGAGCCAAATGGCGTATGCTAAGCAACACACGGGACCAGCCCCGGATCTGGCCAGGAGCCGGGGCCAGCCCGTGGCACTGATTAGGACTAGTCCTTGGAGCTCAGCCTAGTCTCGAAGACCTTGGGTGAGCTCCACATCTCATTCCTTACATCCCTGCAGGGTAGCCAATCCTCCAGAGAGTAAGTGCATACCTAAGCCATGAATCCAATCATATGACCCCAGGCAGGCCTTCTTCCTTCTAAATTCTCATACACCATGTCTGCATTGTTTATAGTACTGACAAAGCAGAAAACAGGCTAATGTTCTTCAGCAGGGAACTAGTTAAGTGACATGAAGCACTGGGCAGCAGGAAAAACCATGCTGTCAATCAGGGTTTCTCGACCTCGGCACTACCGACCCAGCCAGCCTCGCTGCCTCCTTGTGTGAGCCCTCAGAGTCAGTCACACAGGTTTCCTCTTTTCAGCAGGAAGTGCTCTTCCCCTGTTCCCTATCAAAGTCAAGCTCAGCTCCCAAAGCCTTCCCTCAACCCTGTGAGAGACTCCTGCCTTTCTCCTCTAAACCCCGCAGCCACTTAATAGCCACCGTCTTGTCCAGGAGTTCAAGCTCTGCCTGAGCGCCTGTCATTTTGACTTGGTGTTAGGTCACATTTTATGTTTAGGTCTTGTCCCTCCAGTTAAATTATCAGGCACAAGTCATGTCTTGAAAGTCCATGCCAAGCAGCCAAACACGCTTCATGTTAGTTTAGAAAGGTAACAATTATAAGATTAAGGACGGTGGTGGAATGGCTAAATTATCCAAGAGAAACATCTACAATTAGAGTTAACATCTAGTCAAACTAAAAAGAAAAGAGAACTGAGGATGCCTGGCTAATAATTAAAATAAAACGAAGTGGCCACAAAGCAGCATGATTTTACAAGACAGACGGTTGACAGGTCAGGCCAGCAGAGTGAAGGCTCACAGTTCCTCCACACTCTAGGTCTGCAGCCTGAGCAAGCTCTTCCCACCTGTATCTCTGTTTTCTCATCTGCAAATGGAGACCCAAGCAATACCTGCCTGGACGGATGTAGTAATTAGAGGAGGTGATGCATGTACTGAGAACAGAGCTGGGCACGTTGAAATCTCTCAGAAAGTTTTAGCAATTGTAACACATATTTGCAGCAGTAGAATGAAGAGATAGACCAAGCCTCATCATTATAATGATGTACATAAATGGTCAAGTTTGTATTTGTAAAAAGCAAAAATAGTGCAAATGCTTTTTATGAAACGAACATAATCACATTGATATTATACCCCCCAAAAAAGGTGGAATACAAATAGAACCACAGATCAGTCTTCCTTATGAGTTTTAATGCAAAAATTTTAACTGAAGTATTAGCACACTAAAACCAGCAGCACATTAAATAAGCAAAAGACCGCTATCAAGCACCAGTTTTCCCAGAATGCTGGGATGGTTCAAGCTTAGGATGTATATGAATGTACTGCATCATGTAAAGAGATCCAAAAGCAAAAACCGTAACCTCATCACTGTGGATGCTGAAAGGGCATTTTACAAATTCAGCATCCATTCTTGATATTAAAAAATTAAAACAAAACAATTGGAATATATGGATACTTCTTTAACATGACAACATATTTCCGTCTTAGTTCAAAAGCCAATATCATGATTAATGAAATTCACTAGAAACATTTCCACTAATAGCAGGAAAAATACAAAGGTGACG